AGCACACAACATCATTTCCTCTCAAGTTTCTTCAACTTTGAACCTTCCAAAGCTTCAAGAACGTGAGTACTTCTTCCTCTAGCTTACAATCCATGAAAGACCACTCTATCCAAGCTCCATGTGTGCAAAAACGACATGTTCTTCGTGTTTGGAAGTGAGTGTGGCCGCACACCCCTAAAACACCCTCCAAAGTGAGAGTTTAACTTCCATATTCGATGTAGATGTGCCCCTAGCCTTGTTACACCTTGGAATGGACTTTTGGGCATCATTTTGAGGAGTGTACGACCGCACACACCTGTGTACGGCCGCACACACCCTTGTGTGGCAGCACACTCCAAGTGTGCGACCACACACTCTTGTGTGGGACCACACACTCACTCTAGGACCATAAACCCACTTCTAGGACCCTTATCTTGCACTACAATTGAGTATTGACCTAGAACACTTCGTGGATGTGAGTGTGGACCTTGAGAACACTTCGAAGACACCTCATTTCATGAGTGTACGACCGCACACCCATTGGGCCGCACACTCATGGCCGCACACACACTCTAGGTGGCCATACACCCCCTACACTCAATCCTACGAGGTCCTATCACTTGGTGCAAATAGTTTCAAGTCCCTAGAGTGGTTTTCCATCACTTATAGTGGTGAAATACCTTCATTTGACTCGTATATGTGTCATTACATGTTATTAGGATCGAATCGTGTTCAAGGCTTCACTTGAACACCCGACTCTTCGTATCGATCCTTCAATCAAACCACTTACCCGAGGTGAGTTCATACCCCTACTTTCTCCGTGTTTTTAATGTTTTCAGGGGGAGGATACAAGCTGAACATAAATGCTTTCAAACCTCATTCAATTCTCATACTTTAACCCCTTTTGTACTGTGTTGAGCATAAGGGTCATTTTTCATTGCATAGTTTTCCGGATTCGCTATTCACTACGTTATACATGCAAACTATAATCAGTATAGTTTGGGATTTTCTAAATATAACAAGTACATGAATTTTCACTACTAAACATATGCACTAAGACAGAAATGGTTTACAGTTTACATCACTACGTTATCACTATAAATATCACTATACGCGGTATACATACGGATTTTCACTATGGTAGAACGCTACTACACTACATGTAAACTAGATTGTACGATACTGTGAGGCACTACTTCAATACTGTACCCTTAGGTGTACAGGGATAAATCCTATCATAGTATAACCAGAGTCTCCTTGAGGGAGAGCGTGAGATTTGTGAATAGATCTATTCGGGACTGACAATCCCACACCCGAACTGCTAGCTACAGTTAGGCAGGCATGCCTGGGGTGACAAATGTCATTTAACTCGACGCCTGAAGAACGTTGGAAAGGTCTCTAGTCATATCAAGTATGGTTATACGACTCACATTATGCATAAATCACCTTTAGTTTACAACCTGACACTCTTCAATGGTTTTATTTATACTAAATAGAACTAAAATACACTATGTAAACTGGCTAAAGCCAGGGTTTTCAAACAGAACTGATTATGAAATGGTTTTACATACAAAATACTTATACTTCATGATTAGCTTTAGCTAGTCACATGGGGTAATATTTTCGCATATCACTACAGTTTTCAGTAACGGACATTCATGGTTTTATACGGAGTCAATAACACTACATCTTCATTAAAGAAAATATCGGATTTTCTTGAAAATATACAAACATTTCTGCTAACTCATCAACAAGTTTTCATTACAAACTACTGCTTATGAACTCACCAGCTTTATGCTGATATTTTCAAACTGCTTGTATTCTCAGGAAATCAGTAGACAGGTACCTGCTGGGTTTTTGAGGAGTTCGAGCAATAAGTGTTTATTGTCTATATTCATACAAACTATATGATGTAATCCAAACAAGTTTCTGACAATTTCCAAATTGATGTAAACATTTTTATTTAAGTATTCAATGTAATGGTTGCGTTGCTATGATTGTTATTATACATTGGTTGTGATGCTATACATGACGTCCTCCACCCCAAAACGTTTCCGCCATTCTGGTTTTGGGGTGTGACAATTTCTTCCCTATGTACCTTAGAAAATACTTATCGAAGAGTAGGCAAGGTCTTTTTGCCCAAAATTCTTCCTCACACTTCATCGAGGTCTTGATTCAGTCTAAGGAGAAACTTGTAAATCATATCTGTCTCCGGTATATGTTTTTATTGTTTCCCATTTGCATAACAACTCCAAGCCAGGATATCAAGGACATCAAGTTGTTTCCAATAGCAATTAAGAGTTGTGAAGTAGCTTGTCACAGTTAGCTTGCCAAATTCGATTAAGGCTGAGGTATTATCCTGGTTTGAGAATGTATCACGAGCTGCTTCCTATATTTTTGTTGTCGTCTTGTAAAACATAAATTATTCACCGGTTTTTGGTGTCATCATGTTTAACAGCCACACAATCACCATGTTGTTTTCTGCTTTCCATTTGTTAAAGGTTGGGATTTTCTCTTCAGGTTGAACAAAGTCACCAGACAAAAATACTCTTCTTTACCTTTTCCTCATATGAAATTTGAAACAGAGTGTGCCCATAACCATTTAGTTTGTAGCCGGTGGAAAGAATAATGTACTAAATATTAGGGTTTGTTGAAGGTTGACTTTCAGCAGTTGACCCTATGGTTGTGTTTGCGTCGCTGACAAAGCGGTAGGGATTTCTCCAAATCTTATTCCAACCATAGTTTCGATGAGGGAATAAGGATCACAAGGAAAATATTTATTGAATTGTGCAGAACCGAATATGCTCTGATACCATCTGAGTTTTGGTATTAGCACAGAACAAAGAAAGTAGGAGAAAGGGTTATTATTATTATTTTTGCTAATACGCTTCAAAAGAAAACAGGAAAAAAAATAAAAAACCAGAGGCAAGGTCGGCTAACTTGTAATTATATGCAAACTGCATCTCCTTTAAAATAGCTGATAAGAACAAATTTAAATATTATGATAGAAATCTTCATCGTTTAAAATAAATTCATAATCTTCGTTTTCAATTTTACCTTTTTGATCTCTCCATAAAATCTCCAGTAATTTTTGTGGCTGTTATACTTTTAAAACCCACCTCAATGATGAATGATTGAATGTTTGGAGTCCGTGTTGTTGTTGTTCTAACGTGAATGTTTTGAAAGTTGGTAAAAATTGAAGCCTTTGGAGATAATTTGGCAAGTGACCAAATTAATAGGTTGATATCGACCTTATGTCTTGATATTTTCCATTTTTTTAGATTGTATTATATGCATTTGAAATTGTTTCTCTAAAATAGAAAATGATAATTTTTCTCATTCGACACATTCATCTAACAACCTTACTTAAGTATTCAGTCTCTTAGCGATTTAACATTAAATCATTCAATTGTTACAAAACACTCCTTAGTAGAGGATCTAGATACAATATTTTGCTTCTTACTTTACCAACAAATTAATGAACTTCTTTCAAATTCTCGTTGTCTAAGATATCACAATCAACCAATGACCAATTACAAAGATTATAAAAAAGGAATTTGGGTAATAGTTATATAGTATTGTTAATGAACAAATGAATAAATTTATAAATAAGTACTAAAAAAATTATATTCTTAGGAAAAATCTAAAATAAAAAACATAGCACAATAATTTTTTGACGAGATTATTGACTTTCGAGAAAGGGAGTAGCGTTTTACCATTGACAAACATGATAATCTTTAATTTAGAACTTTATAAGTGTTTGTAAAAAGATCTACTCTAATAAATGAAAGTTTTTTTTTGTCACATGTCACACTCTCATTTAATTTGCTAAATGTCATTTGTGGTTATTTTGAATTAATTTCTTTTCCACATGTCATTTTATGAGTTTTTATATTTTAATAATATTTACATAATACCTTAATGTAATAATTACAATAAATACACTAATAAATGAATATCAGTTTATCAATGGACGTACCTTATTATTTCAAAATTCTCAAATTAAAACTCATTAGTTTATTTTCTTTATTTATTTAAATTTAAAAGAAAATTCAGTTTTAATAATTTATTATTTTTCTTATTTTCTTATAAATTCAAAGTTTTTAAATATTTAAATCTTTATATTTAATTTTGTTTCAATTAACTCATGTAATACATAAGTCTTACACCTAATATAGAATTAAAAATGAATTAAGTCGGAAGTAAATCATATCTTTTTGTCTTGGAGTATAGCTATTTTTGGTTTCTTAGTTTTTGCAACTAAAAATAAATTATTTTATTTTCGAAAATGGACAAAAACATTATAAAAACCTTAAATAATAACAAATTTTGCAAGGAGAATCTTTTTAGTACCAAAGTTATACTATTTGTAAGATAAAATCCCTAAGTATTTATCGAGTGATACCATTGAGAATTTTTTTCATAAATAAAAATACACCAGAGTTGATCTTTGTTAGCTATGGTCGTCAACCCTATGATAGAAGTTAAACCGACATCATGTACCTCTATAAATAGTAACACAACGAACTATTATAATATAAAGGTGCAAAATTCAAACTAACCATTTTCAGATTATATTGTGAAACAATGTGAATAAATTGATATTCAACACAAAATAACAACATGAGATTTAAACAAGAGATTTCCAGCTATTTCAGTAACATTTATTAGGATTAAACACAACAAAAAAACATTTTTTTTTGTTTGTTATAACATCCAACTTTCATTATACCTACCACAACATTTTCAAAGTATGACATCTTCAACATTGTAAAACAAGCTTCACCCACTTTAGTAAATGTTTTGAACTGTGATTTAAAAAAAAAGGAAACTAATGTTTGTATTTCAAAATAGAAAACACTTTCCTTCACGTATTTCTAAACCTGAGACCTGACTTATGGATTCTCACCTCCTTACTGCTGATAAGAACACAGTGCAAGTATTTGCTTTTGGATTCTAAATAAAAGCCTCAAAATTATTAAAAAAATTGCAAATAGTGAGTCAACTAAGCTAAGGTAAGCTTAGCTCCATCTTCTTCGGTCCTCTTCTTCATCCACAGGGGAATACCACGAAGGCCGCCTCTTGGAATTACTCAATCTATAATTCAAATAAATCTCTTCATTACAAAGTGGCCGCATGGCAACAAGTGCAAGACTTTTCATAATCGGCCCTTCCATTTCACCATTATTGTCAGAAACCCCCCCGGACTTGAACCAAAAACTCCCAAACCTTTTCATCTTCACTCCCTCTCCCTCTTTACCCCCAAAACTTACATTCGGTATATAAACTCTCATACCCTTTTCACTCAAAGGAAAATCATAAGGACAAACCATCACATTAGGCTCCACACCCTTTGCAGGATGGTTTGCAAAATGACCTAAAGCTAATGGATTCCTTCTCTCTAACACCTCATCACCATTAAACCCTAACTTTGACCCTTCTAAAGGTTTACTCAACATCTTCCACACCCGGTCTGACCCTGACCCTGACACTGACCCTGATTCTGATTCTAAACTAGGGTTTGACTGATAAACCCTAGATTGACCCCATGGTTCTCGGGTTTCACCACCTTGACCCCATGGTTGACCATTGATGATTGTCCCATCGTATCTAGTGATGAGATAAGGGTTTTGTGCATTGATTCTTGGGTATCCAGGGATATAACGGTAAAAAGCCGGAGAGTAGATCACACCTGGGTAGAGTGCTATTACAGAGCCAACATCTGCTTCACCATCTATGAATAAACCTCTTCCAGCTTGTTCATGAGGGATTTGAGATGGTTTTAGCTCAAGGGTGTATCCTGTAACATCTTTTAACTTTTGGGATACCTCTGTGAATGTCAACTGTTTTGTCTCGGGTACATCTGTGCTGAAAATTTCATCATTAATAAGATTCTACTAAAGAAAGGAATTATATTATATGGTTTTAAAGTTAAAGACTTGAATAATAAAAACTAACCAAGAAGATTGATGTTTGTTGGAGTATTTCTACCAATTGCAAGACTAAGGCCACTAGGACGAGGGGTAGTGGGGTTTTGTTGGGATGATGATTTAAGTGATGGATCATGAGAGTTGAAGTCAGGAAGGAGGATTTCGTCCATTGATGTACAGAAGTTTGTGATTTGAGAATGGATGTTTTCTTGGACTTGTCTTTCTTGATCTGCTAGCTCAGCTTTACTTGCCATGTTGATTATCTCCTCTATATCTGCATCTTCAGCATCTTTCCCCACACGATTGTAGCTGTAATGGTAAAGTCAGTAATCATGTATCATATACAATATATGAACAAAAACTAAGTAGAAATATAAGTAAAACCATGGTCGAAGGTTAGTTTACCTGGTACAGAGAAAGAGACGATTTATGTCTGCTTCAAATTGAAGGCGTCTTGGATCTTTTGCAAATGTTGGACTTTTTGCCAGTGTTGCCACAAACTAGAAATAGAAGAGAGCATAAACTGAAGTCTGTAAGGCATGTAGCATATGCTATTTTGATTCTTATTAGTTATTACTTCCTTCAAATGTAAAATTCCTAGTCAAACAACTATGTTTGCACCATATTGATATGAGTTCATTTACCCTTTCTCTACAGGTTCAGAATTCATACAATAGTTTGAGGTCCAAAGTAACCATCATCATCAAGGTTTAGGTATTTTCTCAGTATCGATAGAGTAGTTAATATAGCACATTTTCAATATTTTGCAAACATACTACTCCGATCGCAATCCAACCAGAACCCCAATTTATCAAAATCTCAAAGCGGAAGGTGTAGCAAATGTAAGCGGAATTTCATGAATACAGTATAATGTAAGCTTACAAGTACCACATAGCAACAGTTTTTAGGGAAGAAATCCGAAAACATATAGGGAAATTGACGATTCTAACTGAGAAAACCTAAATGCCCAGAACTGACGGTTGCAGCAACGTGGTTGAGGGATTGATAATCGAATGTGAAATTGTTCGTCAGCGTATGCATAATGAATTATAGATATTGAGTACCTGTTGAAATTTCTGAAAGAGAGACGCCATGAAGTAGGAGAGTAGAGGTGGTGGTCCTCAAGTCGATTTGGTCTCTCTCAGTTTCGGCTTCCAAATTGACGTAGTTGCTTTGAGAAGAGAAAAGGAAAGGAAAGATGAGGGGTCTAGAAGTACAATTAGAAAGCTGTGGAAGATCAAAATGTAATGGATTCCTAAATCTAATGGCATAAAAAATGGAGAAAAATTACAAATTTACTTAATTCTTTCGATGGTTTTGCAATTTTCAGCCAAAAATTAATAAAATGTCAATTTTAACGATCAAATCACCCCTCCCACTTGAGATTTCATCAGGTCGGCTGCCATTTCAACCCACTAGTTTGTATATATATTTGTATATATAAAAAGCTAAATTCCCATATGGTATAGAGCTGTATGCGATTTCCTTTAAGATTTCTTTTGATTTTACCTATGATTTTGTGTTTTAAAAAAATTAGATAAAATTATGTGATTAGTCTATGTAGTTTATCAAAATAGACACAATCATAACAACTATGGAAACACCTACTCGGTTGGTCTATGTGGTTTAAAAAATTTGACCGGTTGGTCCTTTTGGCAAACGTCGCCCGCTTGAAGTCGTTTTTTTTTTTAATTTTTTTGTTTTATTATTATTTTTTTTGAAACGGCAACTAACTAATCTACTCCTAAATAACCACCTATGTCTCCACCGAGACTTGAACCCCTGACCTCTCATATGAGATGGTCACTCCATACCGCTAGGCCATTGACCATTTGGTCCGCTTGAAGTCGTTAGTCGCCCTAGTTGGCCTCCCATGGCCTACGTAACTTGTCACATCACCCTAGCATATCAAACTAATTAACAAGTGCCCAAATATAGTCCACTTAGTCCTTATTGGTTTCCTATAATTGACTTTATTTTCCTTTTTCCAACTTTTAAAGGTTTTTTTTATTTTTATTTTGAAGTTTTTTTTTTGGCTTATAAGTGGTTTTTGTTTGTATTTTTTCTACTTATATGTAACGAGCCAAAAATCAAGGGTAAAAATTTCATTTTTAATATAGTCAAAACATAGATATCATTTATTCCAAACATCCAAAACGTCATTAATTAAAACATTTATCAGAGTTCATCCCAAAATCATTCAATGCGGAAAACATAGGTGTGTGCACTGCGATCAATCCGAACCCTTCTTTTTCAAATCGATGATACCTGAAACCAATACATAAAACTGTGAGCTCGAAGCTTAATGAGTTCCCCAGAGCATACCCCACATACAATCCACATAACACATATCATATTAGCTATAAAAGCTACATATATCACATAAGTCATGCATATATAATCATATAAGGAAGCCATGGAAATCCTCCAAGGTCTTACATCGGGTGCCACTGGAACCCCCACGTGGTCTTAGCTCACTGCCATGCGAACCCCCGCATGGTCTTAACTAGGAAAGTCATGGGAACCCCCACATGGTCTTATATCCAACCGCCCCGGGAACCCCCCGGGGTCTTCCATACCAATATCATATCAACATAACACATAATTAATTACCAGTACACATATACAAACCCTATAAGCCATATATACAACATATAAAGGTGTCATGGAAACCCTCCATGGTCTTACACCGTATGCCATGGGAACCCCCACATGGTCTTATATCCAACTGCCTTGGGAACCCCCCGAGGTCTTCCATGCAAGCAACACAGAGTCAACTAGCACACCGCATATCACAGAAATATCTAGCATGCCACATGTCACATAATAGCTAGCATACCACATAACACATATAACTAATTGCCATGGGAACCCCCACATGGTCTTAGTCTATTGCCTCGGGAACCCCCCGAGGTCTTCCATGCAAATGTCATACTAACATAACACATAATCAGCTAGCATATCACATATCATAAAATGGGCCGACCTTGGTCCTTTAGACCCATTGGTATGGTGAAGAGACTCACTTGACACTGCTGAAGTCCCGCGAATAAAATTCTCATTGCTGGTTGACAGATTCCCGAACTGTCAACATCAAAATGACACCCAATTAATAATTGGGTTCCAGTGCATAACCATAAATCTACACTTGGGGTAAATGGATCATTTTACCCCTAACCTAGCTTGGTTCAAAAACCAAGGCCCAAACTCACACTCTCAAGGCCCAAAAGCCCAATAATCAACCAAGGCCCAACATATGACCTAATTTTCGAAATTGGGCCCAAAACTCTACATGGACTTATTTTAAGGCCCATCCAATTATTCTAGCCCCAACAATTGGCATTCTGATGGCCCAATATCTAATAATCCTCAAGGCCCAATTATGGCCCAATTTTCCAAATTGGGTCCAAGCCAATCTAATGGGTGTTATCCTGAAGCCCAATAATTTCCCTTAGTCCATGAATATGTTCCCAATTGGCCCACAAAGGCCCACGACAGCTTAGTCCAATAAATGGCCCAACAAGCATCCAAACTCAATTAGGGTTTTTCACATAAAATGACGATTAGGGTTAAGTGTTCCTACTTAACCCATTAAGGACTTAATTTATTAAGGACTTAATCCATTAAGTCCAAACATACAATGAAATCGGGCTTGAGTCATAACTTCACTCCAATGGTCCAAAATGCGGGTCCCGACAGGTCCAAACCAATAATTCCAAAATTAGGGTTTTCCAAACTGTGACATCCTCAATTTCACGGCCAGAAAAGACCGATTTCGTTTATGCTTTTTAAAATAAAATAAGAGTAATCATTTGATTAAAAGTGTTGCGGAATTTGTTCCCAAAACCAAACATGATAAAAATTTATCAAAACCTTTCTTTAAGAAATATATAATTTCCTTTTATATCAAAACCTCGGGATGTCATGTTTCGATACAGATCAAATGCATAAACAAGACATTATAAGCCTTACACAGTTATTTACAACTACTGGCCTATGATCCAAAATCACTCATCGTCATCCGACTATGCTCAGGGTCCACTACCTGTAACATAAAAAGCTGAGTGGGTCAGGCTTGGGAGCCTGGTGAGCATATAGGGTTTTCAACCCACAATAATAATAAACTTATTAAGTTCACCAATCAACAATAACCCTGATTACCCATTTCCCGTTATCCTCACTTTACGTCCCTAAACACTTAACACAAGGGACCTAGCCTAAAGAATATCATCGGGATGGACACTGCTGCTAAGGGGTTTCCTCAGCCATACATGTCCTAAAGGCAACCCTGTGGGGGATGGAGTACAGCGAAAGTCTGTGGTCGTCATCCAAACTCCGTTGGATGACTGAATCTCAAATCACGTCGAAACGTCTCATCACTTTAATTTATCACACACCAACTATCTACCCATGTTCTACCCAACATATTTGTAGATAAAAATATATATACAGTTTAAAACGTGTATAAAATATCTGTTGGATTAATGTCTAAGTCCATAACTATAATTGGTAAGACTTGACCCGACCCGACATGGTCCATTTGGGTTGCATGGCATCATGCATTTGGATAGACTATAATGAGAGAAATAACACTTAAGGTTGGTTAATATATTATAAGTTCTAATATATTAATAAGGTTATTTAATTAGTATTGATCAAGAATTAATTTGGAATTAATTAAGTGATCAAAAGGAGACTAATTAAATATATGTGTTGATTGTGTAAATCATTCATTCTTATATATGCGGGCTTGTGATCCAAGATTCCTTATGTTGGACTAAGTCCATGGGGTGACCCATGGATACTCCATGGAGGTTAAAATCCATGGAGCATAAGTAATGGGTAAAGTTATGAGTTACATGGTGTAACCCTAATAGCCACCATATAAAAGAATCCCATGGCTCAAGAAATCGTGCACTAGTGTGTGTGTGAGGGCTAGACGATTTCAAGGAGTGTTCAAGTTTCTCTCAAGTTATTCCAAGTGTATTTGGTGTTGTGTGAACCATTTGAGGTGTCACACTTGGGGCACTAGGCACTCAAGCTTCATGAAGACATTCTACATCAAAGAGGTATGTATTCTATCTTGTTATATTTATTATTTTGTATGCTAGATTAGGATAATACCTTGGATGTTCATAATTGTATGTATAATAGAGAAAACATAGATCCAAGGTATTTAGGGTTGCATGTACACTTAGGAGTGTTAGTATGCTCATAACCCAACAGTGGTATCAGAGCCTAGGCTTGTTTTCTTGTTATACTTGCAAAAGTAGCTGAAAAATCGAGTTGGATGCATATAATCGATTGTTTTGGCTGGAATTGGACTAGGAACATTACCCTAAGATATTTTTGGACTTGTAAACTTGTTTTTGATGTGGTAATGTTCATGCTAATCCAATTTCTAAGATAATTGTCATAATTTCAAGATTTGTATTAGTTTGTATGTTCATGCTAATTTCTTGAAGATTGATGATTTGAATTATCTTGTTCTTATGAGGTTCTTAGATTAATAGAAAAGTTGTGTGAAATAGTTGTTTTCAATCCATTTTAATCTAAGAGTTGATTCCAAAGTGTGTTTTTGTAACTTGTCCTCAAGTTATATGAAAAGTCACATTTAAGAATCATAAAACTCATAAAAGTTGGAAAAGGTTACAAAAATGAAGAGTCTTGTCCTCATTAAATGGTTTTATGACTCCATAACTTGTCCTCAAGTTATGGAGGTTCAAGAGTCACTTCATTAAATGATAAAATGTGTAACCTTAATTAGTTCCATAAGTTACAAAAATAAAGAAAAGTTACATTCTTTTATTAGTTTAAAGTCTTCCATAACTTGTCCTCAAGTTATGGAACTTGAAGAGTTTTTTTTTTAATTAAAACTACTTTAAACACATAAGTTATGGAATTAATTAGTTTTGAATATTTTCAAAACTTGCCCTCAAGTTTTGGAATTTGTAAAGTTTTCCCCATGAATACTTTAATTCCAAGTTAGCCCTTAGAATTTTAAAAGTTAAAATTCAACCCTTATACTTTATAGTATTATAAGTTTAATAAAATATATGTATAAGAGCAAGTCAGTCTTACCGTTAGTAGGCCTCATTCATGAAGCCGGTCTATAAGGGGGGTATAAGGTTACTGCCTATAAAATGGCAGTTTAATGGGTGTCCACTCTCACCCACCGCTTCCTTGACTGATGGAGGGTCGTT